CATCTGCCTTCTGAGTTTGTGCTTCACTGCCAGTGAATTGACAGGGGCCAGCGGCGCTAGTTCCAAAGATTTTCCAGCTTCAAAGTTTTACTGGGTTAGTTACCACAGTACTCCAGTCTGTCAGAGACGCAAGGAAAATCAAAAGAAGTATGAAACTAAACTATGTAAGGACATTGAGTAAGGCAGAAATTGTACAGTTTCACAAATACTTTTTTTTTTTTTTTACATTTTCTTGTTATTTGCTGCTCTCAATCTGTAGAGACCATTGACATCTTCACAAGCGATGCTGTCCAGTGCCTTGAGTGAGCTTTACAAACTTACAGAGATTCTGGACAACTCACAGGGGAGTCTGTTGTCACCTTTCAGCACACCAAGAAGCTTGCTTAGCGTATCATCACCTAAGAGTATCTCCAGCCAGTAACAGCTGAAAGTCTCTGCCGATAATGCTGAAACACACTACACATGGTGTAAAGGGCATGAAAAAACAACTCTCTTTTTTTTTCCACATCAAATCACATCAGACCAACCGCTGCAGAAGGAACACAAGAAACACAGCGTGTTTGTCCTGCTGCGTCACCTGCCATTCCTCAGCCTGCCATCCTGCTGCTGCTTTCTTCAACGGAAGGAGCCCGATGACCAAGCCCAGGCAACAGAAGCAAACTCCAGCGTGGCTTTCTCAGCTAACGCGTTCAGCCATTTTCAAGCTGTGATTCTGGGATTCACACCAGTCACTTTCTGCGGATTCTCAGAAGAGGACCCAGAAAAGCAGGTTCATACACACTATGAAATAATAATTTTCAGCATCATAATCTATGTCTGCTATCACTTTTGGTTTCCTTATGATCAGTAGCTTTTCCTCTAAATCTTGTTTCCTTTTTTAAAGCATTTTCTCCTAACACTGGTCACTATGTATCTTCTGCCATTACCTTTAGTCTACGCAACTCAAACTCTCATCAGTTCTGCAGTTTCCTCAAGACATAGCACAGCTGAAGAGGAAAAAACAGAAACAGCAGAAAGACACTTACTGCACTTTGGGTGTAGATACTAACACTTCCGTATGCAGCTGGGCTGCGTACACATAGGTGTTTTTGAGTTGTTTTCTCAGAGCCTGCTAGAGACACTGCAGCAGCAGGAAGATGTCTTCAATAGCGGTCAATTCAAGTAAAAAAAATAAAATTCTGATAACAGAAATGTGTTTGAAGCAGAAGTGAGGAAAGAAATAGAAGCTAGGATGAGTGAATTCCTTACAAAGACCACATGGAAGCAGAGAGCAACAGGAGTCTGCGGTGGATGTGCAGCACTTCAGTTCGTAGTTCAAACGTGTCACTGGAAAATGCAATGTTCGCTACCAACAAGGGACGACTCTAAATAATTTCTTGCTTCAGTTGTTAAGGCCTTGTTTTTTTTCTGGTTCTGCCCTTTCCATTCCTCTGTCCCCTCCTACATGCTGCTATTTGTGTACATAGCCAACACTACCAGATGTCACCGTCATCTGCCACCGATACACCATCACCCTTTTCTGACAAGGCTTTTGCTACGTCTGCTCTTTAGGTTGTGTCTAAGGTTTCTGGCATTAGGAAAGCTAGGAAGTAGAGAAAGAGGTGTTAAAAAACAAAGTCTGAATGAAGACTCCGTAAATGTAAACAGTTCTTCCACCATGTGTTTAGTTTACATCATAAACAAAGCTAAACAAGCTAAGGGAAACTAAGCCATATATGCTGATTTCTCTCTCAAAAAACCAAGATAAACAAAGATAAATTAAAAAATACAATTATTGATAAGGATACCATTACCCTGCTACGGGACAGGATTTTGTATGTTTTTATCACCAGAAAACGTGTATCATTTCAAAGACTGATAGGATTTGTGGAAGGTGGGAAAGGTGATTTGACTTTTTTCTTCTTTTTGCACTTTACCACCTGACTCCAGTGTTCTCAGTCCCACAGAACAGCGTCTATCCGAATGACATGTATCACTGACAGCAAATTGAACAAAAAGTGAAATATAAACAAGTCTGCAGATGGAAAGAAGAATTAGGGAAACATCTCTGGGCTGCAGAGGGATGCAGGAATAAAAACTCTTACCAGACACCTTTTTCAAATATTTATCCAATTACCAATGGATAAATGACCAAACGAATGGCCCACTGGCTCAACATATAAAAATAATTCATTAAGACAATGATGCTTGAAGGGACAGGTTTATTACATCTCCTACACCTTTTCGTTTCTGAGCCGGTGACCAAAGCAATAATGAAAACCTTAAGCCAGAAAACATTTACAGCAAATTTAGTTTCAGGTTCTGAAATGAAAAACACACTGCGTTTGTGCTGTTAATTAAAACACTGTTTGGTTCTCCTCCCTTCTCACACCCTGGGTGATTCTCTAACCTTGCAATGACACTTTCCATGCAGTAATGCTTAAAAAACTACACTAAACACAACATAATCCTAAATATAAATTAATTTTTAATTACATGGTATAGAATACCTTGCAAACAAAAGACACTCATTAAGATTCACTCACAGGTACTGTATTTTTTGGCAAGCCTGGAACAAACCAGAAGAAAAAGCAAAGTATTATTCTATAACCATGAGGGAAAGAAACGTCCATCTAAATGTAGAAGATTCATACGGCAAAACTTAAAGAAAAAATCCACACTTACAGCAGATTTTTTTTAATTCTTAGTGCAAGAAACATAACCAAGTTAATCACAGAATCAGTACTAATTAAGAATATGGAAAATTCTCCTATACAGAGGTAGAGTCCAGTGCACAAGGCTAAAACGATAATCAATAGTCTAAACAAGACCGAGCCAGGTTTTACAGAATCCACTTTTAAAGTATCAGACTGTATGTACATACATACAATAAATAGACTATACAATCTTTAAAGTAGTTTAATAAACTTCACAAAAATTATAGTAGATGCATTGAGATCTTTACATAATCCAAAGTTCGTATCTCTATCACCCAGAAATGGATAAAACCAATATTCCTGATATCAAGTTAAATGGAAAATAGTTTAGCAAAGTGTTGATAAATCAAAATATTTTACACATTTTAAAGCCTAAATTTATGCTTATAAAGGATGAATTTCAAATGCTCTGAAAATGTTCCTTTTGATACTATCTGTAAAGAGGTTTCAAATGCTGTAATTTGCATCTGTATTGTTACAAACACTTTCCTTACATTCCATGTTCAAGGGAAAACTGTACTTGGCTACTCACAGTTCTGATGCATTGGCACAACAAGAAGTGATGAGAATTAGATTATTTTAAAGGCCCACAGGACATCAGGAGAATTGATGGACAAAACCTTCATGTCTCAAACTGCACAAATCACATTACGAAGTTAACAGAAACCTGTTTGGTGTTACCACTTCAACCCCGCAGTGCCTCTCCGCCCGGAGGCATCCGACCAGCCCCCTGCTGGAAGTCAAGTGTGCATCTCTGGGCCCCTGGCTTTGTGACAAGCCCATAGGGCTTAATAAAACAAACATGGAATGGTTATGGTTTACCACGGTAGTGCATAAATCGGGGACGTCTGTTGCCATTCATTGCAGTGACAGTCGCAAAGAAAGGATTTCAGGGAACTGAGAGTTTTCAGATATATCCTTCTAAACTGTGCAAAAAAAAAAGGAGGGGGGGGAAAGTAACCCTGGGGCATTATAAAGCAAATATGCTTATATTGACAAGTTATTTTCTGTAAAAGGTTCTTACAAATTCCAAGGGGGCAACAGCCACAGTAAGATGGAACAACTAACAACAAAAGAGCTTAATAATCAGAGTGGAAAATTACGTTCACAGTTCAGTTACTTTTAATTTCTATAAGCACCTACGCTGAAAAACATGAGGGTTTGCATTTTAGCTTCAAGATCAAATCTCCTTGCAACAAATACCTTGTAAAGATTTCCATTCTGCTCTTCTACAGGCCTTCTCACTGGAACAATTTTTTTATTATTTTTTATTTTATACAAACAGACTTACTTTGATTTAAAGTAAACATACAAAAATTGAGAATATTGCTTGCAACAATGGACCTGAAGGTGAAGGAATGAACTAGTCAGGCCATACAAAAAAAAAAAAGTCTTCCTCATAATGAATTCTGCTAAACTTCTAATGCTATGAAAATCTGCAAAAAGGATCACAAGATCTGTTGCAAATTTCAGAGATTTGGCCCAAGTCTTATCATCATCATCATGTGAATACTTTAATAACTATATCTTTATATTAAGGAAAAATAAATGATTCCAAGAACTCAGGAAGGCACACACACCCAAGTATACTATAAATAAAACACATCATGAAATTCTGAAGATCTTCTGATCCCTGTACACACTTTTGGTTCAGCACTATGGTCAAGTCCGCTCTTTTGAAATACAATAAAAGGCAAACAAGAAATATAACATATGTATAATAATTATGAAGAATAATGCTAAGAAGACAGCTTACAGAGAAAAGTGCAGTGAAAAAAACCCAACGCTATTTATTCAAGGGCTTGTGCTACTGTAAATACAAACATCGAATTTGCTGCTGTGCAAGGGGAAGAATTTATCCTGGGAAGCAGCAATGAGAAATGAAAAAAAAACAGGAAAAAAAAGAAAGATATTAAAAGAAACCTTTAGGATGGAACTCTCCCAACTTCATTCGTCTAGTGCAGAGTCATCTGACTACGTGGTTTGTTTTCATGCTGCCATTTCTCTTCATGAGTACAGCATATTAGGAAATGGCACAGTTCTTAAATATTTTTCTGCCTCTACTTTGTTTTTTTGTTTCTTCTTCCAAGCACCTGATTCGCTGTGTTCTCATAAAAAGGGTAAAGCTGTTAGCGAAAGTGAGAAAAAAAACTGTTGCCCATCTTCTCTCCTGAACACTGATTTCTCCATTTCTCCTTCCACTCGGTATTTCACTCGTGTGCTACACAATGGGGAGGCACTGTAAAGGCAGCTCGACAGATTTAAAAATAAAAAAATCAAAAGTCTTTTTTCTTCATCCCCCCGCCCCCAGCCCACACCAAAAAAAATGGATGGATGAAACAGTATGTCCATAGGAATATTCCAGTCTCCTCTTGTTAGGAGATAATAGCGGGGGACCATCTAACCACAGTCAGATTGTCAGCACTGACTGACCGTTTCTTTGCGGCTTTCCTGAAGTCCTTGTATTTGTCTTCACACAAGCGGGAAATGGCCTGGTAAGACAAAAGAATGAAAAAACCTCAATGGCATTGACCACAGGTGTACACACAAAATAAAACTAACTGCAGATCCCTACATATAGGCAGAATTACAGAAAGTCATTTCATTAGGCAAAACACGTGAAGAGCTTCTCGCCAAATCCTCCTGCTCAGTTCATTAATCTTAAAAGAAAGAAACAGACCGACATTGCATTGCCCGCCACAGCTGCTTTGGAAGGACCCAGTGAGCATATTCCAAGCCTCTTCTTTACAGGTTTACGTTCACAAATCTCATCGAGGTAGCTGACAATGCTTACCCACTGCTGTACGGTAACTCATATACAGCACGTCACTGGTGAAAACTGTGGACAACTTAGTAAAACAACAGGAGAAAGTGTAAGTACATTTGGAGAATTTACAAAGAGGACGGCTCTTATTTTTTGTATTTCCTAAAAAGTCTTGGGGTAATTCTGTTTTTCTCTACTGATAAACGGTCCGGCAGAATACTCACCCTGCTTTGCCTACAGAGTCAATTTTTACTTGGCTTTTGGCAGGAGATGGTGATTTCTGTGTGATCAGGCTATCTTATATGGTGCCAGTGGCAAACATAACTCATATTCAGAATAATTTAATTTGCTTAAAAATACACAAACATTATTCAAATTTCGACTCCTATTATACTACACTGCAGTTAACGTTTTATGTTTCTTGTACTGTTTTTAGCCAAGATTACGGACCTCACATATACAAATACAGCAGTGTGGCCTAAAATGGCACGTCTGTTAGAGTTCATCTGTTTGGGACAGGCTATGGTTGGCATCAGAAGGGATGTTAACTTTGGTGATCAAACACGCAGAACTGCAAAGAAAGCTCACTGCAAGCAGTCCTCAAGGTCAAATTAGAAAATAAGATGACCTATATCAGTATTTTTACTGGGGAACGCTTCTAAGTGGTATCTTAAGACAGGATGTTTAATAAAAAGTACTGTACAAACAAAACCAGTACAAGTGTTTGATTATAAAACAAGGCAATGCAAATAGACAGCCCAACTCCACTGATCATCATTTTCTTTCTTGATCTTTACTTCTATAGCACAGCAAGTTGTAGCAGTGAAGAGTCCTTTAATTTTAACAGTCCTGCAGAGAGCAGAGGCAGGTATGACAGAAGCACACAACTCCTACATCTAAGAGCAAGGTCACCTAACGCTTTGTTCAAGCCAGTCGCAAAACATGGTTAAACTGAAAAAAACAAACACAAACCAACACAAAACCTACCACCACCACCAAGAAACTAGGGGCTACTTTTTAGTTGGAAGCTGAATTTCCTTTTGTTAAGACCATTCTTGAAGACAGTTTTCCTTCTTGGTGAACACGAAGAGAACAACAGAATCAAATAATGCAAATATTCCTGTTGCTTTGTAGACCATAACTTAACTCACTAAAAACTGTTTAATTACATTTTATTTAATATAACCAGGAACCCAAAGGACTAAGAAAGTTTATGCAATTCAATCAGATTTAAAATCCAACAGATGAAAAGTGTTTAATAGTGAAATAATGTGTCAAGCCACAGCTTGGCAAATCGGTGTACTGAGGTGGAACCCAGCTTCTCTCAGCTGCCAAATCAGGCTATTACCTTAGGCACCCAACAGCCAGAGCAGGTAATCACTTCGAAATTGTCTGTTTCACAGGAAAATTTCTGTTCTGGCACTTGGTCAGACAAAATGAAATTTTGCTTGGAAGTGGCACTTAATATTTGGCATCTCTAGTCTCTGGTGATTAATCATATGCATAAGAAACAGACTGACTGCTGTTTAAAGCAATTCTGTATCTAAAGATGCCTCTTCATTTGCAAATAATTTACAAAATTGACATCTGGAGCCTATTTGGCAAGTTAGTCAACTTTAGCATAACAACACAAAAGCAGAAAATTGTAAATATTTATTATTGTCCTTCAGTTAAATAAATCCACATAGCTTATAAACACCTTTCTGTCATCTGGTATTTCTTTTGCTTTTATTGCTAGAAAAAGAAAGCAATTTTTGACAGTTGCAAGGGACCATTTTTCATATGAAATCAAAACATTCTTAAAAACAGCAACACTATTCCATCACGTGAAATTCTGTTGGACTTGATTGTAATATCTGTAATCAGCTAGACAAATGCATACATATATATCCTTCCATAACATATATGCATATAGAACTAGAAGTCAGTTCCTCTGCTGAGTTATGAGACTCTAGGTGAGACTCTGTCAGTGGCGAAGGGGGCAGCTAAGGACAAAGGAGAGGGGACACAGGCAGTAGCAGTAGCAGTAGCGTGTATTTTGGCTGCATGCACACATCTGTGCAGCGCAGGAAAGCAGCAGGGCTGGCTACGGCTTCACTGCTGGGAACGCACAAAGGCGCGCGCACGACTGCAAGTGCTGCAAGACTCTCAAAAAATGCACAAACCTGCGAGAACTTAGCAGGGACAGACGGCACTAAGTCTGGAAGGGTTATATAGAAGGAAAATGTTAAAAAAAAAATCACTGGAACAACTAGAAGTTGTGATGATGGGGGTTGTCCTTAATTTATGGAGAATGAAAAGAAGAGCAATTGGGTTACTCCTGACAAAAGAGCAGGGGTGTTTTGCTCTCCCTTCGCTTCTTGGCTAAGAGGGTTTTGAACATACAAACCAGGCAGGATTTCAGTCAGTCACTGCGACAGTGGGAAGCTGGAGGGATATCAAGACACGTCTCTACTTGTAACTTACATCTTTTTCTCCTCTTTTTTTGTCTGTTTGACCTATGGGACTGTACCTCTTTAGGGACAAGAAAACACAGCACGCAGTTCAAAGGGTTTGAACTATGTGCTCAAGCACTATCCTAACAATAAAAAGCTCAGACAACATACAGCCAGTTAAACTAGGAGTGCACTAATGAACGCTCTTACAGAATTTAGCCGTGAAACGAGCACAGTGCTAAGATCACAAGCAGAAATAGGGTACGGACATCTTGTGGACTAACCCCAAAGAGCAGAATCTGACTCATCTTTAGCTCAGTACACGGGAGAATAACCAGGTGCAAGAGAAGAAAATTACAAAATAGTGGATTCAGGCTGGACATCCAAGAACCTTCTTGGTAGAAAAATCTCCCATATTAGAAAATAGTTCTCAGGAGAAGCAAAGGAAGCCTTGACATTTGACATAATTAAAAGGAAGAAGAAAACACACTACGGCATATGCTGTGGTTGGAACAAACAGCACTGGCAGGTGGGCAGACTGGATGATCTAATGAAAGGTTATTTGCCATTTTTAATTTGCATGATTCCATACAACAGGGAAAAAAACAAAAAAAGAGGCATCATGAAAACGGTTTCTGGCTACTAGGTGGACTGGTATAACAAATTCAGGACACTTATAGGCCACAGGCTGATGAAAAGTAAGGAAAAATTACTTTCATTTAGTCATTTAAAAGACACAGCTGTTTCTGAAGTGTCAATCGTGGGAACGTAAGGAAAACATCCACTGCAGATGCTCCAGAAATTGTAGTCATTTTTAACAAGTACTATACAACCTCTTGTAACATCTCTAACCTAATGAATCTTGTCCAGCATTTCCTTTTCATGAGGAAGAGTATTTACTAGCCTTGTCCTTGGTTGTCTTGGAGTTTTTTTTCATCACAGGTATGTCAACTTCATGATATTTGCAGAAATAGCCATGCAGATTCTACCATGCCAGATCTAATGCTCCTGCTTTAGATACACAAAATAGCTTGAAAACGCAGAAGTAGCAAAAATGTGTCATAACATTACCATGCCTCTATGCAAGACCTTTCATGATCTCAAATATCAGTAAGTTGTTTTAAATCTTATGACTGAGCAAGGTCCTTTCAGTTTACCAGACGAGGCAAATCCTTCCACTGCGTACACACATTCGCTATGAGTCTGTTGTCTTTCATCACAGACTGCAGCTTTTCTCTCAGTATCCAAAATATCACAGCCTGTGTGGTGCAACATCTACTCCACTTGACAATCCAGGCAACTGTTTTAAAAACAGAGAACTCTGGGCTGAACAGTACACGAGAGACCTAGAAAAGTGCTGCAAATGCCTTTTGATAACTCTTGGCAAGCTAAATGCTTAACTGTGCTCAAGGAACAAGGCTGTAAATTATGCTGTCAACCAGTTCCAAGGGCACGCTAATGACAGTCAAGTATTTCCAGGGAACAAGGCAGTTCCCATCCTGTCCCCTTCCTTCTGGCCACAGAACAGAGGCCAGGAGCTGGTCGACCAACTTGGCTTCACAGCAGATACTTATCGTCTCCCCTGAAGACCTCCTCTTTGGCCTGCAGAGTTACTTTACAGCCGACTTTTGCCACCAGCACAAAGCTTCCCCAACACTGGAAAAACTTTAATAATATGGATTTATTGAAAAAAAACCATTTCATTATTTCTTTTAAAATATGCCTTCTCTTTAGTTAGTATAGAAGAACCACCAGTATTCTCTGGATATTTACAGTCATATCGTATTTTCATTTCTTCTAAGGTTTTAGGAGCTACTGTTGTTACCTTCATTTGTAACCTCCTGTTATATATTGTGTGCGATACAGACTGACAGTGTCAGGAAACACTGTGTACTAAATTATCTTCAAGAAGTAACTCATTTTTTGTATAGGTAATGGCACTTATTATCAAGACTCACCATCTAATAACTTTGCAAACTACCTCTTTTCATTTTAGATTACAATCCCAATGAATTTTCATTTTTTAAAATTCTCTTCAGTAGAAACAAAATCTGATGCAAATTTACATCACATTCCATACACAGAATTAAGTTACATTCTTATTGGAGTTACCTGCGAAATTTATGCAGAACATTTAGAAAGAATGAGAAATACAACTTTAGTGAAATCTCCTTTAATTCCTTCTCCACCACCTTCTGTTCCCATTACAGTTACAAACAAGTCAATTAACCTTCCCACGCACCATTTCCCCCCAGAAAAACGTGCATAGCACTGCCTGCCTGTTCTACAGGAGCACTAGCAGTTTCAGAAGATGCAAAGCTCACTCTAACCCACAGGCAAACAGCCTCCAGTGCATCCAAGCTATTAGGAATTAAAGACGTGCGACGTTAGAAGCAGTCTAGCATCTAACAGCAAACTTCAAAATTAGTAACAAAATATGTACACACTCATGCAATAATGCCCTTATTTGAAAAACTTTGTATCAGAAACCTTAGGAAAAAGATTCCAGTCTTGCAAAGTACCCACAATTGGCTAACGATTTTAAACTCCTCCTGTGTCTGTGGGAATTCGCAGTGCCCTGAATTTCACAGGTCCAGACCATCCGACATCGTGCTTTCAGCACACGTATATTCAGTTCTCATAAGCATTTATGACTTCTTCACTAAAGAATTGTGCTCGTTTCTGGTTTTCCACTACTGAGAAAAACATCATGAGAGATAACAGACTTGAATCCACGTTAAGTGGAGCAGTAGCAGACAACAAGCACATGGAATAGTTCTTTTCAGCAATACTTGTTAATATTCTGTCCTGTAAGGTGGATAATCAGTTTTAAGAAACCAAATGAACACACAAAATCAGACTGTGAAGAAAGTACTTTCACAAGGCCAATTCAGACAACTGGAACTGAAAAAGAAACCGAAAGCAAGACCGAGTATGAAGCAAATCGGGCCAAGAATCTGTCCCCACGTCCATGAATAACCAAAGCACAAACAAAACAGTTATGAAAATCGGGGCACTTGATATTATGATATCTCATGGGAATATCTGGGAAGAGATGGGAGAAGGGAGAAACAATGCAAAAATTCCAAATCCCCATATATATTCAACTCTAAGCAATCTAAAAAGAAAGCCTCTTACCTCAAGTTTGTATGCCCTGTCCCTGCTGAGGGGCTCCAAAGGAAAACTCAGGTTATTTGCTTCTGCCAGGGAACGCAAATCAAAGTAATACTTGGCATAAACACTGGAGGGAACATTAATATTGAACTGCAACAGCTCAAGAAACTGGCGTTCCAGCTCATTCCTGCAGAAAGATAAATGTGAAAACATATTTCAGACTGTGCATTCTGAATGTAATTTACTTTAAATTGCAAATGGTATAACCCAAGTTCATGTCTCACTCTTCCCAGATGCAATTATCCTAGCCTAAGGTTTGACCTCATCTACCAAGGCACGTATACGCCAGTGAGGAAGATGAGAGATGCCGCACCCTGCAGCTGTTGCTGCGAAGCCAGTCAAAGCCAGACACAAACTTCTGGTAGCGGAAGGGCACCTTTGTCAGTTTAGGTAATACATCTGGGAAAGAACAGCTAGCATGAACAAAAATTTCCTTGTAGTTTCTGCGGTCCCTCCACTAGGTGGATCTGCACCCCCACCTATGCAAGCACAGACCACCACCAGGCCCTGACACTGCAGACATCTCTCATGCATGCTGCAAATGACCCTAACACCTGAATTACTGGAGAATTTATTCACTCTCTTCAGACTTTTGTCATCAATCATTTAAAACTAGTCATGGGAAACCTGAATTTTTCAGCATACTGTCATCTTTCTTTATGAACAGAACAAAGCAATTTTTCCCTGGGACGTGCAATCAAAATGCACAGTGGTGATTATTTGTTTTTCAGTACCTAAAACAAACGTGTTTGTCAAAACACCCGATAGGAACAGAGGTCCCATTTGAGCTCCCACCCTGTGAAAACTTCGGGATAGCAATACATTATTACCTACACCAGTCCATTAAAAACTATTTTAAGAAATAAGTAAATCAACAAAATCAAGGACTGGAAAATTTCATGAATCTGATGGTAACTAGATATCCTACGTAACACTGATGCACAGATATATGATGTATCCAAAACAATGATTTCAAGACATGAGAAATAAAAAAATAAATAGGTGGTAAAGGCTGTACATTTGTTGAAAAGTATACAGACTGCAGAGCTGTGTTGCCGGCAGGTATGGACTACGACATTTCAGTTACACTTTGACCGCAGTGTGAATGTGCAAGGAATGTGCAGGCAGCTGGCAATAGCAGAGGAAGGATCTGAGGATAAAAAGTACTGGTACAGCAGTTTTTCAACACTGATTTTTCTTCTTCTCTTTCTTGACTCTTACATCACTCTTACATCATAATCATTGTGTTTCCTTACCTTCATTCTCTCTCTGCCAAAATTCTATGTTTACATAATGATAAGTATTAATTAACATTAAAAGACTATCTAAAAGCTGGATATGAACTCTTTGGCATGAATTCACACTGTTGAAGATTCTAGCTTTTAAAACATCCAAGTTAAAAAAATTACATTTTAAAACGTCTATCAATAAGAACAGAAGATTGCCTTTAAATGTCTTTACGCTGCCAAGATTTTACTTTCTGCAAGCTAAGCCTAAAGCTCTATGTTAATGGACAATATAAAGTCTATTTTAATGGCGAAAAACACTGGCTGTACTTCTTTAGAGGAGCATCCCCAGACCTTTAAGAACAATACATAGCCTCAGGTTCCTACTATCCCCTAGTTCCCGGATTTGAAGGTTAGATTAGCAGACTAACTGCAGCTGAGACAGAACAAAAAAATACAGGTATTTCAGATCTGAACTAATTTAACGTAACTAACCACCATACCCTTCTTCCCTGATACACCCACACTGGACTGCTTTAGCATATGTTTTCCTGTGCCACTCTCCAAATTCACTCAGAAACTCAAAGTCAGGCTACACACATGACTATAGACACATACTGCACTTCGGTCCTCCCAAGTCCTCTGTTAGCTTTTAGGCACAGCTCAGTGTACTGCTGGTGACTTACAAAACTCAGAAAGGTCTGCAGGATGTTTTGCAAGATACACTTATGCTGAATGATTCACAGCAGCTGAAGATTTTGACCTAGCATTTCTCTGCCTTATTAATACAAACAGTGAAAGCTCCCATCCTGCGCAGAGCTAGGCACTTCAAAACCATAATACTGGACTGTCCCAACAACCTGAAAAAAAAGAAAGAAAAAAAATCCACCACACCAGGGATAGGAGGAAAAAAAAATAAGAAGAACTGGCAGCAGGAAAATCAGGAATATAAACCTCAGGTTGACAGCACCAGAATCTCTGCTGGAGGATTCACAAGGAACCCCAGGCACAAAGCCCGTGAGCCAGATCACCAAGTGCCATATGGAGAGCACAGGCTCCCCAAAGACTTCTAGTTTTGCTGGTTTTGAGAACCCCAAAACCTTTATGGAAAGGTTAAGAAGCTAAAAACTTTGAGGACAAGGATTCATCACAGTCTGGCTTAGGGAATGCGCAGTGCAGAAAGAGGGCTGATGTTAGCCCAGGAGCCCAGGTCTGCCGCGTGAGCAATGGTGTTCTACAGCTGAAGTGCAACTTCTAACAGTAGCACCATCACATGTGTTTGACAAAACAAATAACCTCTTTTTTTGCTTTCCTTCACACCATCACAGCATGCCTCATCACCTGCCTTCAAAAAAAAGTCCTGAGAATCAGCAATTTCAAAACTCGTGTTTATAACCATCTCTGATAAACACTGTCACCCAGCACAGTCAAACCTGTCAGTCCGCCTCAAGCTGTTCAGTGCTCTACTTCGGCTCCTGTCCCAGCTTCAGAAAGACTTTAAAAGCTCCCGAGTTTGCCTTGGAGCAGGAGTGAACAGACAGAGGCCCTTATTGCCACTGAATACCCGAAAAAACAAGAAAAGGATCAAGGGAAAAGTAGCTTAGCAAAATCGTTCAGGAAACACTCAAAACAGCCAAGGAAGCATTATCAAATTGTTCTGCATGGAATATACAGCATACAGAAAAGTGACAGGCTTCATTTTAGCTTCTTGTCCCTCCTGGCCTCCCCTTTTATTTTGGAAATCTCATTCTGTCTGGGTTACATTGGAAAAGAAGTATCATCAATCATCCCTATAATAGCTTACATATTTTAAACCATACACTGAAATGGCATTATGTGGTATTTCCCACCTCTATTTTGAAATGAGTTTTCCCCAAAACTAATAAAAATACCTACGGCATACTACAGCAATGCCAGCTGTGTGTTCTTCCCCCTGACTGGGGAAAAAACCCCACCTTATTACAAATTGCTTGTTAATACAAGATCTAGAAATAACTTTTCTGATACTTGAGGAATGACAGCTACTCACAATTTATAAGTCTTATCTAGCAGTGTATGAGCATGCTTAATTTAAAGCAATCAGATGGCTCCTAACATTCAACCTTGCCCTTACAGATCATTTTTAGACCAGCTATAAATCTGACAAACTGTGAACTATTAAGAAAGTAAATTAGGGCCGCTTTAGGAAAAACTCTTGGCCTTTCACTGCTTTGAGATTGCAAACTGAGATTCAAAAAACATTCTGTCTGCATAAACATTTATTCCCATCTACTTCGCTACTTCCCTCCTTCCCTACTCCCAGAGTGGTTATCATCCACAATCATGTCTCTTCCGTGGCTGCAGTCCTGACTTGAGTTAGAGCAGAGACAAGTCTACAGACTTCTCATTACAGACACCGAGCTCTGCTTAACAGAGCTCTGAAACACACAGATATGCTATTAAAACATCTTTTTAATAATTTTAATCTTACTAGTTCTTATAAACAAAGGAGTGCACCAGTAGACTGAGAATGTCCCTCTCTGAAATCACGAGCTGCAGTGGCCTGTCGAGGCACCCGGAGCCCCAGCACCACCCCAGCGCCAGCTCCAAGCGAAGCCCTCCCAGTGCCGCTCTCGCAGTCACGCCAGCCCGGGGACGGGCACTTGGGAAGTGTGCATGGTAGGCAACTCAGCCCAGAATGTACAGATGATACAATGCCCAGGCATGTCAGCCAATACATGCAATAGCTGCTAACTAGCCAAATAAAAAAAGCACCCGACTATTTTATGAAATGAGCATTCCTTTTAGTGTTTGTAAACATTAAGACCTTAATTGTGTTTATTCTTATTAAGGTTCTTTTTATTACTGTTAGACTATACTCTTGATATGACTCAGGAGTATCCAGCCAGACATCACAACTCTGTGCTGTTACAGTACGCTCTTCTTAAGAATGCCATCAGATAATAAATGGAAGAACGGCAATGGCTCTTTGCAAGTTAAATTACTAGATTTTTAACACCTCAGAAATGAACTCAGCAGGATATATGGGAAAAAGCACTCCCAAAAAAAACCCCAAACCCAAAAGCCCTAATTTTAATAATGCCAATAAATAACTGGGTGATCATCTAAGGGGCACTAGGATCACAACAATTTTTTCTCCTGCCTTACATGTTGGTCTACTGTCTGTATGGAGAACTAGCATGACAGCAAATGTTACGGAAGTGAATACGTGCAGGGTCATTGATGTGGGGTTCTTTGTCAAGTCATACACTTAAATATTTCTGCAGGTCTGTTTTCATCACTGTGCATGAATCTCCACTGGTAAAATACACTTCAACCAGAAAACAAAAATAATTCATGTCTTCCATGTAAGCAACTGTCAAGCAGACCTCACGCCATCTACCAGCATTCACCATGTTTAGATACAACGCAGGTATAGAAACTTTATATAATTTATGAAAGAACTTCCCGTCCCCCTCATATGCACAGACCTTGACATTCATTGACAAAGATAAACATGCTGCACTCACATGTCTTCGACTGTGATATCTTTCAGAATCTGGCAGTAATCCACGTTCCACACTGCCTGGTCGTCCCAAACCTTGGATGCCAGTAGAATTGCACCCAGTACAATTCGCTTCCAGTTTGCTGGACAAATATCTATCTCTGCATAAGTTAAAAGTCTTTCAAGATACACCTGTGGAAACACATTAAAATCAAGACTTAATCTATTTTGCTATTAAGTAGGAATGAAAAAAGAAAAAGAAAACTATTCTCCATTCTAGCAATTTTAAAACAGTGATCTGCTCTCAATATGATTCTTTTAAAAAAGCTGTAGGTTTAAATACATACATTTACGCCAAGCTCAAGACTGGATGAGATAAATTCGTATTTTAGTTGGCCTTTGCCTTCTGATCATATTGCCAGAAACAAAACTTATTTTTCTATCTGTAACTGTTGCTAATATATTCAAATGTTGTTGTGAATTCAAATGATAGCTTAAATAAATTATTAAAATAGTAATGTAAACAAATAAAATGCTAATTACTAATGAGGAAAGCAAGGGTATGCTACCAATAATAGTTACTAGCTATCTTACTAGCAACCATGGCATCCTGTCACATCAGGCCCCTCCGGTGAGCCTGCACGAGGGAGGTTCTATAGGCACCTATGGGTTGGATGAAGGAACAGTTACCACAGAAACAGCAAACAGAACAGGTGAAACGTACGTGCTAAGAAGATAATGCGTAACAGTTTCTGCTGGGCCGGTAAGATCTAGAGCCGAGTAACAGCAGTCCTGTTGGACCTACAAGAACTGATCAACTCAGGACACCGTAGTCTGGCCCAGTCTGCCCAAGGCCACTAACACAGGCCAGCATCACCCAGAGCTCATATGACCCCAACCTCATCCAGGAGGGCACTGGGTACCATTCACAAAGCCTACAGGATTACATGCACCCGTCTGACCAAAGCAGGGACCACGGAGGGACTCCCTGAACACCTAGGAAAAAGCTGCTGGGGCTGGGGGAGGCAGTGTGACCCTCTGCTGCTGACCATGGCGCTGTCCCGGACCCCGACTGGTGCTCCAGCCAGGGGACTATGGGTGAACACGTGAGGGATCCACGGGAGCGGGGCAGTCAACGTGTTGTGCGAATAGTTACCTGCTAGCAGTAACAGCAGCTCAATTACAGGAATAGTAACAGGCTGATAAACAAAATGCGTTCCAAGAAATACTTGTTGTGGGTGATCTGTGTGCCCCCCTACTCTATCCCCTGTCACGGACAGGGAAATTACAGTTAAGAATATTTACATGTGAGGTGAACAAAACTGAGTATTTCTGCAATCCACAACATTTAAATAGTTCATAGACTGGCTGAGAAGACACACAGTAAATCTGCAGTTCGACTAAGTTAATGCTCACTAGCACCTATTCAAATAATATCCAAAGAACAGCTAATACACACAAAAGATACCCAAAGAATAGCTAATACAAAAAAAAAAAAAAAAAAAAATCAAATAATACCAGAAAAATAGCCAATATATCAAAAATTCAATGTAGGATACATGCCGGTAAGGATTTCAGGGGAAAGGGAAAGGGGGAGTGTAGAGGGAAACCTTAAAACCCAGAACGGCTCACTGGTGATTTTCTATAAGGTTTTGCGCTCATATAAGCACACAGAGGCCCTTCAGTGATTTGTGCTTCTTGAAAGGTCTAGCATTTGTAGAAAATATTAGATGAATAATAAAATAACGATGAATATATTTTGAAGCTAGTTTATATTTATGAGTCCACAAGAACATCAAGAACAATTACATCCTTCATATAGTTTTGTCCATTAATTTTCACAATTATGATATGAACAAGCAATTAGAGCTTGGCAACAAAATAATCGAAAACCGTAGACAGCTCTTGCATAATTTAGTCTTACAGAAAAAATACATCTTATGAAAAAATACTGAATATCTGCATACACGTACACAGATATTCAGCCCACAAAATGAAGTGTCTCACACACTCTGCAGTATAAACAGAATATTGAGCAAGAAAATAATGGGAAAAAACAAACCACACAGTATTAGACAACTTTTGTTCAAACTGGCCACCACAAAGTACAAGTTCTTTGCTTCCTACTCTTAATGAAGGAAAATAAACCTCAAGTTAGTGTCTGTAATGGTTAGCAATAAAGTCATATTACAACGAATTCATGTGTAAAAAAAGTACAAAATTTTCTTCCCTCAACAGACCACCTCTCCCAAGCAAGAGATTTCTTAGTCCACTGTGAGGATGCTTCAAACAGGTTTCACTGCACTCTTCTGGCAATGATTTAAGGAAAACCAGATGCAGTCACTTCTTAAGTTAGGAAATTCTGCTCTGATTCGAAAACAAAATTTTTTACTGCCTTCACTAGCATCAAAGATGTGAACTTGTTCTGCAGTCTTGTTTCTCACCTGTGGAACCAGGTGCTGTGCATGAAGGAGCAGAACTTGACACTGGAAGTACTTCAACACAACAACACAGATACATTTACTACAACCAACCACTGGTCCCGACGGGCTGCTCTACGAGAACACAGGTGGGCAATAGCCTATTCTTTGCATCTTGTAACAGACCTCGTAATACACTCCTCACTGCACTGTGATAAAAAGCAATATGGTGGTTATTTCGGCTGCTAGTACTCCTACAAGAGTCTACACTGACTGACGGAAACTAGCAGGAGACTTCACGAGATGCTCCGACGAAAGACAATATACATGCGAAACATTATACCTACCTGAAAGGCTGCATATTTTATAAAAATGGAACACTGCTTGGGATTCTGAAGGACTGGCATTTTGTTTTGAATTTTAAATACCTAAAGATCATCTTTTACAAATGCTGAAGGAAATTTACTTCTGCTCTAACAGAAGAAATACACAGCCACTCAGAAAACTAAAAACATTCCTTTAAGATACCTATGTTTTAAAATGTTTCAGGTTTTTATTTACCAATTTAAAACTTTTTTTGAAGTGGGATTATGATTGATTTATAGATAGTTATTAAAACCCACAAAATATTTAGAAAACATTTATCCAAGTTTTGGCAATATCTGTACCTTCAAATAAATACCAGACTAGCTTTAAACAAGTAACAACAACTAACTTACAAAAGCAGCCTACGTACAAAACGGTAGATGCACAGAAATCATATCTGGAGAAGTACCACTTCACTGATAGTACCAGCGCCAAAATAGTTTCAGTGAACTACAGAAATTACAGAACACTCAAAAAGTCTGAATAGTTACAGTATGTTGGATAATACAGACTGGTGAAATTAAAAAAAAGTCTCAGTAAAAGACCTTTGGCTTTCTCACTCCCTATAGGGTTCTCTACTTTTCTTGTGTTAATGAGAAATTCATCTTGGTTTAGACACTTTGTTGAACTCAAGCTATACCATTAGGCACAAAAAGACAGGCATAACAAACATCCAGAAACCTCTGCAAAAAAAAAGTCTTACTCAGCTACAAAGTCAGAATATTTACAGCGTAAGACCTCACAGATAAAACCGCTGATTATTCAGGTTTTTTCTTAAAAAATAAGAAATGTATAGGTAGCAAGATATCATAAAACCAAACCCGAATTTTTCAAGAGACCAGATGCCAGACTCCTGAATACACCACTTCTTCTTTAGCTATGATTTGACCCTGCCTGCCATCCTAACACTGAAGAAAACCATAACATTACCTTCTAAGAAACAAAATACCGCTAATTGCTCAAAAATTTATTTTCCTTCATAAGGAGGGAAAAATGCTATTTAAGCACAAAACTATAAATTACAAATGCAAAATTATGTGTCAAGCCCTTTATTAAAAACAGAGTTTTGACTTTTTAGTTAGAGCATCACTCTGAAAAGATTTTCTGGCATAAAATTTGATATTGGGAGACCACAGAAACACAAAAGTCAGTAAAAAGTGGCACATGGATCTCAGCAGAGTCTGCACTACCTGGTGCTCCTGTTTCAAAGGCTGCCTTTTGCTTTCCAGGCAGCCTGTGTAAACAAACCCCTTACACACTATGTTACACAAACTTGTTCAACTTAACAAGCAAAACTGCTCCTTGAATTATGAACAAACAGCATTCCCTGGAATTGTCCCCAGGAAGCAGAAGACTTCCTTCAAGCAACACACTGTGCTGATGCAGGGAGCTTCATAAGCAGAAAGCACATGGAAGCCCAGATCATGCCACTCTGAAATTAGGAAACGAACTTCATTTGCTTTACATCAGTGCTGAATGTGACTCTCTACCGTTAATGCAAACCTCTTGCATTACCACTTCCTATGTGCAGTTTTTGAAGATTTTGAATGAATACTCCACATCTATAGATACGCAAAGCATACAAAAATCAGAAAATAGTATCCTTTCAGCAGCTCTCACTTAGAGAGAGAAAAAAGAAAAAAAAAAAAGAAAATCAAGTAAGGATTCCATTGTGGGCTCAAATTCAAAGGCATTCAGAGAAGGAAATAAACTGATATGAACAGACAAGAGCGATAATGCAAGGAAAGACATAAAGGAGAATAATCCATAACAGATGAACTTACACCTAAGTAAAAAGGGAGCATAAACTTGCTACTACCTTCCCACTAGCACATACTTGAGAAATCAGCTTTAAAAATTAAATAGAAGCTTGATAAGACACTATTCTTATACCACGTTCATTACCATATTTGAACATCTTCCAGAAGCATGTTGAAGGATATGATATCCTTGGTGATAACTCGGGCTTAACTCCAGACATATGGTTTGCTGGAGTAAGGCTCTGTATCATCTTCTGATAAAACTAAAGACGATGAATACCTTGCCAGGAGAAAGGCGCGTAGTGTGGCTTCTGGCTCCTTTCTTGAACATGCCTTTAAAGAGAGCATTTTGTTTTGTTCACTTGCTGTGGCCCCCCTGACTCAGTCTTCAGTTTCAAGCGTATGCGTTCAAGAAAGAGAAGACTGAAAAAACCAAGACAACTTCTTGCAGGAAACATCTGTAAAAGTTTATTGTGGTCCTCAGCTGGTGTGGGAATTCACTGCAGTCCAGGACTTGTCTCCCAAAGATATGCCTATGCTGTCATGCTAGTGTCCTCCTTCAACTTTCAAATCAAGCCTGCTCAGTCACACATAGCGTTTTCATTCTAGATCGTTCTAGCCCTAATTTGGAGAGAACCAGGTGACT